TATCGATGAACGGTTTAATGCGTTGGAAACTAGACTCATAGATCTTTAATTTTGTTGATAGATTACCCCGTAATTCCTTGTAAATTATGAGAAAAGAGTAGAAATATTTGACCTAATGTTTAAGTAAAATTATGAACCTAAGTTGCGACAACTTTTGTCGACTTTTGTTTCATAACTCGTTTGACCTCAAGACTTATGATACGGATATTATATGATTAAAATACCTTAATAAATGACCTCTTGAGTGTATTAAGCACCGCTAGATTACCTGAAAATACGAGTTACAATATCCTTGATTCGTTTAACTTCTAATACTGGTTAATCACCCTTATACACTCTTGTATCACTTAAGACCAATAGGATTGACTTCTTATCATCTCAAAGATAATTCCTTCTTGGATTTATGTTAACTAATATATGACATGAACTAACACATGTGGATATGGGTTGTAACATTTATTTACATATTCATGAGCATTAAGAGTTCCAAAGTTTTGTAGCAACATATGATCAGTAGATTCGTCTCATATTTTCCTACATGCAAAACCTCACAAATTAATGTTTAAGTACCTACCCCTTCTTCTCTAGTTTCATTGTGGACATTAATACATATCACTTAAGTAATTATAATGAAATGACAAAGAGGTCAGAACGGGACACCGATAGACGAGGGATATTTCATTACGTAGAACAGTTTAATTTACACAATATATCATATATTGCGACAGAATTCTTTGGTATGGAAATACAAAATTAAAAAAAACTTGAATAGAGGATAACCTAGATTATTCTCCTTTGTGACAAGAATTTTTACATGCTTGATGTTCTAAAAAATCAGGCTTGCTCGTGAGCGAGTGTGCTAAAAATATAATTAAGTAAATAAAAATATACATCTCGACAATACTACTTCCTTCTCACTTCCTTGAGGATGACCATACTTTAGAGGATTGAAGGAAGGGTTGAGGAGAAAGGATTATGCAATGTAGAGATGGTTCTACTAAAAGTGTCAGAAACTGGTGACACAGTAGAATTCTCAATGTACTTCACCCACCCGCCCATCCAGGTTGCCATTCCAACAAACAAGGCAGCTAAAGCTAATAATGAGTAACATTTTAACTGTTCAATTTATCTCTTTCAACTTGGGAGGTTTATATCAACCAAAAATCATGAAACCATCAAGTTCGCAGTGAAAATCTATAGAAGACTTGAAGGAACATACAACATGTGTACCATTTGGGTTTGGATTAATTACACATATTTCTCCATAAGATTTCCATGTTTCTATCATAATCTAGCTGAAGTACCAGAAATGGCCTGATCAATGAGTTCTCTTCTCAAGATCTTTCCTGCTGGAGATCTTGGTATTGAGTTAATGAATGCAACACGCCGTATCTTTTTGTATGGTGCAACCTGCAAGATATCCTTTGGTTATAATATGCTTCAGCGGATAATCAGCAATTCTTATTGTCCATCCTAAGAAGAAACACAATCATTTCATCAAAGTTTTCCATCTTTACAGAAAGTAGGATCGAAGATTGTGTGTGTGTATATATATAAAGGCCAGCCTGGTGCACGAAGCATCCCGAGTTCACATAAGGTCTAGGAAAGGGCCGCACCTGAAGGAGTGTAGTGTAGGCAGCCTACCATGACACAAACATCAGTGGTTGATTCCTCGGCTCGAACCTGTGACCTCTAGGTCATATGGAGACATCTTTACGTTGTCTTATGTGGTGTTAGGATTTTAACAATTGGACAATTTTAGCGTGTATCCACTATACACTAAGGTTGCAGTGATTAAAAGTCTTAACAAATTTCATAGGCGTATGCAGCTTATGTTCAATGGGTTCAACTGAATTGACCAAGTTTAAATTACGTCTTGTGACAATCCTAGGCTAATAGATGCTTCTTTAATGGAAAGAGTTTTAGTCTTATATATATATATCCACTTGGAGGTGTACCTGTTTTGCAATTGAATCCACAATTTGTGACTCACTAATAGTGCTCCCAGGTTTTCTGACAACATAAGCCATTGGAATCTGCCCTGCTTCTTCATCAGGATATCTACATCAGAATAAACGAAAAGAATGAGCAAAGCATAAGAACATCATAGGGATTAAGAACTGCTTGGGAAGCTTAAAATATCCACAACTAGAAAAATATGCAGATGATTTTGTATTAGAGTCTTATTAGCATTTAACTATCAGCATAAAACTACTAAAAGAATGTTGGGTCCAAATAATTTCTTATGATTACTTGTGCCTACTCCAGACTAAAATTCACATCCTGAAATTTTTAAGCTGAATGGATCTTCTAATTACGGTCGTCCTGTCTCTTTTATCATTTTTCTTATAACTGAATGTAGAAATAAAGATATGATAAGATGAACACAAGCTTCTAAATGAGCAGATTGTGACAGTGTGCCCCTGCACAATTCAGACGAGGACTAAAGATCTGGCGATCTAAAAGCCTCTTGCCTCTTAGAGTGAACGGGAATAGAATTCAAAGGTACTAAGTCTAAGTTATCCACATGATCGTAAGAGCTGCAGAAGAGAGATTAGAATTATCTTGCGGACATTGCTAGCTACAGAAGCCTGGAGAACTGGCGCCTATTTTTACTCAAGAGCTGTTAGGAAAAAACAACTGCCACACATATAACAATCAATCAGAGGATTCAGTCAAATTATTACTCAATAAGCATGACAAAGCAAGGAACTGATAGAAAATTCTTGACGTCACACTTCGGGATTGACGCAATACCAAACTCGATACAAGTCGAATTTGTATTACCAAGTTCATATGCTTGTTAGGTGGACTGATCAAGAAAAATGATGCATCAAGGATAACCAATTAATGAAGCATCTTAAAAATACTACAGCATAACGTCCCAGAGATTATGAACAGGAATAAGAGAATATAATACTTTCTTGACCAATGTCAAATTTCGAACAGTTATTATGAAATTGTTAGTCAAGAACACCTATGTCCACAAAATGAAGGTAAAGGATGTGTAGGCATACCAAGATAGATAAAATTACGAATGAAGATATTATGGACAAGGTGGGCGCGGCCCCCCTATGGAGAATAAGATGCGGGAAGCGAGGTTTAGATGGTTCGAGCATGTGAAGAGGAGAGGCATATATGCCCCAGTAAGTAGGTGTGAGAGATTGACCTTGGTGGGTCTAAAAAGAGAGAGGTAAGCCAAAGAAATATTGAAGAGAGGTGATTAGGCAGGATACGGCGCTGCTTCAGCTTACCAAGGTTATGAGTTATGACCCTTGATATGCGGGTGTGGAGGTCGATTATTAAGGTAGAAGATTAATAGAAAGTCGTGCGTTTTTCTTGTCCATACAAGTAGTATTAGTATTAGTCACGTACTTTCTTATTTTTTGTAGATTTTTATTGCCACTTGTTATTTCTTTCGCTTCAGTTTTCTTGTTATCTTGCTGGTACTACTGGTTTTTTCATCTTTCTTTGAGCCGAGGGTTTATCGACCTATTTAACAATATTCACTGAATAGTAGCAGGACAATACAACAAATAAGTAACCTCTATAAAATCAAAGTCCATCATGCAACGTTTGTTTAGTACTTCCCATATGTGCAGCCTTTGCATATTAGATAAAAAACATGAACACTCGAAATTACGTTTAACTTCCATCATTGGGAGGACATATTTTCTTAGCTCTATAGGGGTTTCTCAGTTTAACATTTCTGATACATGGATAGAAGGATGTCAAGGGACAGAAAGATAAAAGAGAGAGTAGCACTAACGGAATAACTGCTGCATCAGCAATTTCAGGAATTGATTGAAGCAACTGTTCCAGTTCAGCAGGGGTACCTGAAAGAGCATCCATTCATACGCAACGACATAGTAGAAGAGATGAAACTACAAGTTTGCATAAAACTCAATAGCTGTATCAGGATCACCATCAACAAAATTACCTGATATGCCTTGTGCTTTATCAGTTCTTTTAGCCTATCAACAATAAACAGGAACCCATCCGAGTCAAAATAGCAGAGATCACCAGTTTTTAGCCAACCTTCTGAATTAAGAGTGGCTGATGTTTCTTGTTTATCTCCAACATAACCTGCCATTAACCAACTTTCTGTTTAAATCTCAAGCATACCAAAGAAAGTAGGTACAACACTAGTTAAGATTAGATAAAAATGGGTATATGTTTCGTTTTTTATTTTACTACTTCCATGGCATAACATAGTCATGTACAACCAACTCATGACTATTATTGAACTGTCATCTCATCCAATAATTGCTTTCACGTTCATCGATCCCAACTGCCAAGTTTTGCATAAACTAACAGGTTAATTATAAGCTATGTATGCATTAACCTTTCATGATTGTTGGCCCGCGTATCCAAAGCTCTCCACGCTTCCCGGGAGGTAAGGCCTCTCCACTATCAGGATCGACTATCTTAGCTTCCAAATTATCCGCAAGGCGACCAGCAGATCCATATCGGTCTGTTTCCTCAGGTCTTATCATCCCTGTACCTGCTCCCGTACTCTCAGTTAGACCATATCCCTATGATGAATCACAGGTAAACGCATTAAACCCAAAGGCTATGTCATATTAGATGCATGGAACGATGAATTAACGGTTAAAGTGTGTGTATATATATAATAAGTAAAGTTCATCTATGAGAAAATTGACCTCATTCGTTGCTGACCATAATAATTTGTTAAAAAGGATTACTTGATGCTTAGCTTGTCAAATTTTCCAAATGAACTTTCTTTCAGAATCACTATTTTATTATAGAAGAAAAAGTGTAAACAATAGCATATGCCAGGAAAGGCAACATCAGTTATTGTTTTATAGTCAATAAAGAGGTAGACAAAACGCAACACTTCTTGCTACTAAAGATACAGAGAAAATAAACAAGCTGTTGAATGCTTCACACAATGTGGCCAAACAAATGAATACAGAGGCATGCATCTGTGTTTACCAGGGGCGGATTTAGGGGGGCGCAAGGGGTTCACCCGAACCCCCTTCGCTGAAAAAATACACTGTATATATAAAACAAAATCTATTTTTACCTTTATATATTAAGTTTTGAACACTCTTAACACAATCCAAAAGTGTAGTTTAGTGGTCAAGGGGTTTCAAAATCTACATAAGGTCATGAGTTCAATTCCCACTAGATACATAATTTTTTTTTTAACCCCCTTCGTGGAGATCCTGCCTCCGCCACTGGTGTTTACCTACATATATAGTTATATGGCTTTCAGAATCTCCTCTTTCAAGTATTGTAAAAGATAATGTAATGCACATATAAAATATGCAACCTTACTGAAGACCAGAACAGAATGGGAGTCTTGGAGCAACGGTGAAGTTGTCTGTGTGTGGCCTACAGGTTATGGGTTCGAGCCATAGAATCAACTAGTAATGTTTGTGTTAGAGTAGGTTGGTGCAGCCCTTTTTCCGGATCCTACGTGAACGCGGGATACTTTGTGCACCGTGCTGTGCTTTACTGAAGACCAGAACAAATGCTTATAGATAAAAAAAAAAATTCCAAGGGCATTTCCTACTCATAAATATTTTGACCATGTTTCCTAACACCGAGTCATGTATTATAAACTCTATACTTTTTTAGAAGTCATCCCATCCTGAGATAGTGTTGCTAAAGGCTCATTTTGATGCACTGTTAAGCCTTTTAGGTGAAGCTCAAGCTGGACGTTTCACGTTGCTTAGGCAGCATTTCAGTACAAGAAAGGGCATATACGAGACAGCATCAGTCCTTGTGCAATACCAGCCGGAAGTTGGAGAATGTGTGTGATGTAGACATTATTGTCCCTTTTCCCCAGACTTGTACGTTTGGACACATAAATGTGAAACCCACCAAACTCACTTAAATTTAAGTGGGTCGGGAAGTATGAAGTACTAATTTATGAGGTAGAATGAGTTTAACCAAAATTAAATTATCTAAACAGTTGACTTAGGGTTTTTTTTTCTGAAATTGTTGAGAATTAATAATTTTAATTGATTGATTAGGCGTTTGGACAATATTTAATGAAGTTTAAAAAATATATTTGAAGTTGAAATTGCAAGAGAGTATTTGAAAAAATCAAATAATTGTATAGCACTTACTACTCCCTCTATCCCAATTTATGTGTCATAATTTCCTTTCTAGGTAGTCCTAAAAAGAATGTTATACTTTTTCATTAAAAAATAATTTAACTTTAACCTTCCTATTTGCCCATAATGATGTGATTTATAGCCACACATATGTATGACTTGTTTTAGACCATAAATTTTGTAAAAGTTTTTATTTCTTTCTTAAACTCCCTATTAAGTCAAACACCACCACATANATATATATATATTGGAATGGTCTATGATGCATTGGTGTCTAATCGGTAAAATTCAAAAATAGCCAGATTTACAAGTAGTAATTTAAAAAAAGTTACAGTTTCAAAAGTAATTGAAATTTAGCCATTTTTCATGTAAAGATAAATATGAACGAAAATACTGTTCAAAATCCGAAAAATATTCCAGCATAATATACTGGAGATCGAATTATTTACAGGTGAACTTCCAGCATAATATACTGGAGTTCCGGCATAATATACTGGAGTTCCAGTATAATATACTGGTCCGGCAAAATATGTTGGAAGTTCATGCATAAGTGCTCCAATCTAGTATATTATGCTAGAATTTTTCGTGTGCTGGAGTTACAATATAATATGCTAAAAGTTCATACACAGGTGCACCAATCTCCTGTATAGTATGCTGAAACTTTTTGTGTTGCGGCAAAATAATAGCTATTTTTCAATGACTTTGCGAACGCTGGCTATTTTTCAATTATCAATCCGAAAACTGACTATTCCGTGCTATTTTCACTATAGCTCTATTGGTGCTCCAACTAATCAAGATTTGGGTTGTGCTTACTATGGGCTGTACTTTCTACCAAAAGATTTATTTTCAAAGGCTCGAAATCTGAACCACTAATTATAATGTATATATCAATGAATCATATTTATGAGCATAGTCCTTGGTGGCTATGATGTCATTGCACCTTTTTCTTTTGGATAAAAAGAAGAATTTTCATTAAAACTAATAAACACCCATCACACATCGTAACCCAACTAAGGGGAGAAATTCAAAAATAGTCAGATTTACAATTGGTCGTTCAAAAATAGCACAGTTTCAAAAGTAATCAAAATTTAGCCACTTTTATGTAAAGATAAATCTGAGCGAAAATATTGTTCAAAACCCAGAAAATATGCCAGTATATTATACTGACTTCTAGCATAAGTATGCTTGAACTCCAGCATATTATACTGGAGTTCCAGGATAAGTATGCTGGAACTTCAGCATAATATGATGGAGTTCCAGCATAAATACACTAGAACTCCAGCATAATATACTGGAGTTCCAGCAAGTATAATTGTCCAGCATAATATGCTGGAGTTTGGAGCACCAGTGCTCCAGTCACCAGTATATTATACTGGAGTCAGCAAAGTATACTGGTTAAGTACGAGCATCAAAGACCCGGTGGTTTATTTCAGAGGATTGCACTTTCCGAGTGGAAGTGGGAGAGGATTACGATGGATTTCGTTACTGGACTCCCGATGACT